AACTTCCTTTCTTTCCTCGCTGGATTGGCTCTGTTCACTGGGCAAGAGAAGCAGCGACGCTGCCAGCAGGTTCAAGAAGATGGTACCCAGGGAGCACATCTGCAGGCGATGCTCTGCGGCATCCTTCATGGGCTTGACGTAGGCGTGCAGGAGCAGAAAGCCGACGGAAATGACGATGGTTGCGAACATGGTAAAGTGGTCGTCGGGGCCGTACAGCAGCACAAAGAGCGTTTGGACGATTTTGCGAGCAAGTTCCAAGATCTCCCAGAACCAGAACTGCGGCTTGTAGTTTTCACACAGGAAACTTTTCCAGGTGAATTCATCCTGATTTGCTGGTTCCAAATGCAGAAGTGGCTCATCGTCTTCAGCCAGGTCAGGGTTTCCATGATTTTCACCAACATGACCGGCATTTAAACTATGAGCCCCACCAGCAACATCAAGCAGAGGCCGATCCTCACTTTCCCGTCTCCCACATTCATCTCTGGTAGACTGCACAACGTCTTCTGATTCCAACAAGATACCCGGAATGCCCTTTGCCCGTTTTCTATTGGTCCACCACAAGAGGAGAAGCAACACCAACGGAAAACCAACGACGTAAGAGAGGGTGATCTCGGCAGCGTGGTTATAAGAAACATGCTGTTGTGTTCGGCAATCAATCGAGTAATCAGCCCGAAGTCTGGTGACGCTTACAGAGTCGTCCTCGTTTACATAAAAGAGTTGACATCCAGAGGGTAACAGGGTGAGTATCACACTGGACAAGCTTGGATAGGAAACAAAGAGCAGTATGACCACAAACAAGTAACACCTCTGCTTAGTTTTGGCTACAAGACCTGTTCGTTTTTCAACAGGCATATTCCTTGTCTTCAAGTAACACTTGGTCAAACTGTAATAACAGCAGGCCGCGAACATAACGAGTGCCACAAAACCAGTGCCGACCAGGAACTCAATGTAGATTTCAGGATAGGTGAATCTTGGGAGATAACATCTGGGACTGATTATTAACCGCATAATGTTCACCTCTAGCAGCCTAAAGAGAGAGCCGACACTCGTCAGTACCCTCGGCCATGAAATTTCTTCCAAAGCCGAGAATATCTCTCCCATGACCTGGTAAAACCCCAGTAGAATTTTCCCCCGAGCCAGCAGCACGCTGACTGGAGATCGGCTGTTCCTTCGGCCCTTGTGTATTTGCCAAGCGGTAACTGTAACGATCACAGCAATGATTGTCAACACCAAAAGGACCTCAAGGAGGAACCACCACCATTCCGGACATTTGAAGCAGTGGTCAAACCACGGGTAAAAAGACGGACTGCACTGGGCGCAAAGCCACCCCGTGTAGCCTTCCGCACAGGTGACGTTAATACCGCCCATCTCAGCGTTGACGCACGACTCACTACGAGGACATCGGTGGACTTTCGGCAACACGCCTAGAAACCTCGTGCTCTCTTTGTTGTATTTATTGGTCTCTGTGAGCACATTTTGGACGAATCGTTGATAAGATTGATAGTTGTCAGCCCTGCCCCAGTCCCAGGTCCACCAGAATCCAGGTAACAGATGTTGGTATTCACCTGAGCAGTTGACTCCTTCGTTAGGGCAGAGTTGGCATTCACCGAACCGATCTGTACGGAAGAAGTTATCAAGACAAGGACAAGCACGAAAGCCAGCGTGGAGGCTTTTATTGGTGCCCGTTGGACACACCGTACAGTTGGCAGGACTGGTACCAGGATGGGCCTGTGGTGTAACGTAGGTCCCACTGTTGCATCTTTGGCAGTTGATACCTTGAGAGGTGTTCGCAACTTGGCCGGTCTTGATTTGGTAAAATCCACCTGTGTGCCAGAGAAAAAAATACAAAAGCCATGTAAGATGTCAAAAACAGTAACACCCATGGAAAACCTCCGATTACACACTGAGGAAATACGTGTTTTTTCCGAAAGGCTGTATACCTGGTGGGCATGCTATGCAACTGTTGTTTGTCCACGAAGTTCCAAACGTACCCTGGGGGCAGGGCGTACAGTCCCACTGGCTGTGTTTGCTTTTTCTGCAGTTAAATCCCGACAGGCTCAATATCTCCGCTAAATCCTTGGGCACACCTATGGGCAGAGCGAACCCGTCTCCAACTAATTCGCTTTGTGAGAAGAGACGGGGAAAACAGACCGAAGTTACATTGTTTACCAAATTCATTAGAGTTTGCGTTACCGTTCCCACAGACACATTCAGACTTCCATCATACGTTACAGGTGATTTAATCATTATTGACTCCAAATTACTGATCTCTCCATTACTCACATTGTTAGATCAGTCCTATTCATCAGTGGTACAAATTCTAAAGTATTCTCGATTGCTCTGAAAAGAAAAATGCATTAACAGGCTTACACTCGTGAAATGATCCTTGTGTTCAAAGGACCCCCTTAAAGAAAATTTCATATCTCCAAGGATCATGAAAGTGAATTTAATTAAAACAAGATGAATTTTGTAGAAATATCATGTTTCATCTTTTGGGAAACTTCCTAACTCGGAAGAATTTCTTATTATCAGTAAAAGAAACTCTGACCATCTAGGTTTGACATATAGTTTAGTTAAAAGTATACTATGGAGGAAGTCGATGGATACATATTACCTAATTTAAGTACGAAGCAGACTTACATGTAACTGTCTTTGCCAAGATCTTGCCAAACAGTTTCAGGAATTCTCCTCAAGTTGTTGCCATACAAAGATCTGAAATTCAAATATACAGTAAAATAAAATAAAAT